GCCTCATAATTGGCATTATACAATAGAACCCATGGAAAGACTCATTACCCTCCTTGATGACCTTATGCGGGCTCATAATTTATGCTCACAGACTCTCCTTTTCTAGTGCATGAAAACTCTGTACAATGCAGGACTGCATCACTGTCTTCTGCTGAAGAATGAATATAAGACTGTGAATATCTAATCTTAAGAAGCATGTACTGAAACATACCATTGCCAGGATGTTACAATCAGCATATTCCCAAAGAACCACAGAAACCAGGGAAAGGTACTCTTATTTTACCTTAAAAAAATAAATGTAAAGATTAGGACCCGACCAGAACCTTACTCCAGCATATAAGTGCAACAAGGAATTTAAGAATTTTCTGTGATCAAGAGTTTGTACTACCTCACTCTTTGTCTAAAGAAGGAACTCTGTAAATATTTGGGTAGCTGATAACATCTAGGATGACAAATTGAAATGTGTAATGCCAAATATCAAAAGTTCTGTATCTTAACGATAAAAAAAATCTGATCCCTTTGCTAAGCACCACTACATATTTAGCATAAGACTTTGGCCTTCTAAAGATGTTCCGCATGGATGCCTTTAGGAATTTCTAACAAGATCCATTAGTCATTTTATTTGGGCTCTTTGGGGTGTTCCTCTCATCCTGTTCAACACAGTCATCTCTTCAGTAGCACTAGAAGATTGACATTCATCAATTAGTCATAGCTGGTGGTCAAGACAGCATACCAGGTTTAAAAAGAAATATTCCTGAGATGGTTTTTGCCTACTACTTCTTGTAGCCTGACATCAGATCCTTCCTCTAGGATCATTAATAACAATGTGGTGGTGTTTATTTTCTGGACATGGTTAAATCTCTTTATTGTTCCTTTACTGTTTTGAGTTACATGTGATGGTAATAACTGGTGTTATTAAACAATTCAAGCCAGGCAACTGGATCAAATTCTTTTAACAGTGAATAAGGCTTTGGAGGTATTTGAGTTGTTGGTTTAGGAGGTATTTTGGTCTGGTGTGGTCTAATTTGAGTTTTTCTCTTGAATTTGGTCACAAGCTGAAGAGGGAATACCATATTTAAACGAATAATCCAAGGACAAGGCACAAGGGATACCACAGGTCAGCCTTCCATCAATTCTCATTGGATTGGATTTGATGAAAGGATAGCAGTTTTTTTCTCTATTGAAAGACTTTCCTAACTTTTTTGTTTACTTTCCCTGTATGTGCTCCATGCATGCATAATTGTATGTGTATGTGCATGTGGGCCAAAGGTTAATTTCTGGAATCTTCCTCAATTGATTGATCCCCACAGGTTTGTTTGTTTTGTTTTGTTTTGATTTTGAGACAGGGTCTCTCACTGAACCTGAAGCTTGTTAATTCTACCAGACTAGCTGACAAGCAAGCCCCAGGAATCCTCCTATGTTACACTTCCCCGGCACTGGGAATATAGGTACACATGGCTTGTCCAGCTTTTTCACATAGGTGTTGGAGATCAAAATCTGGTCATTCTTATGTGGCATACTTTTTAATGATTAGGCTACCTCTCCAACCTCCCTTCTTTTGCATTCCATTCCAAAGCTTTTAAAAGAGTCCGTCAATCCATAAGAGCAACACTTTAATCAATTAAAAAAAATCTTCTTTGCCCAGTATAAATTATAAGAAAAAATAACACCAAAAAGTATAAGAAATATGGGAATGTTGTAGTTATCATATAGCTTCAACATATCTTTAGTAAAACTGTCTGTACACAATAGAAGTACAAATTGCAGAAAAGAACACCTAAGATGATAAGTCTATGCAACGACCCACTTGATGCAAAGACTTACTATTTAAAATTATGAACTCTCAGAATCCACTTTGCTACAGACTCCACTCACTATACTCAACATTGACTCCAAAGAAGGAAAAACAAAGTAATGTGTTTGAACAAAATCTAGATTCCTTCTCTTGCCAGTAGCTCTCCCATCAGTCATTGCCTGTGCAAACACCCTTGAGCTATCTACTCCTGATGGATTGCTGACAAGTTTATTCATTTTCTTTGTTAAGCACACAGAATTCTGAGGGCTTTGGGAGATATTATCCTGGGATCCTCAGGGAATATATGAAAAAAATAAAGTTTTAAATTTCATGTGTTCTAGCGTGAGATAGGTAACACAGCTCAGAGTAATGGAAGTGGGGAAGTTTCCGGAAAGAATTGACCCTAGACTATGTCATCCACGATACAGTCATACAATTTATTCTCAAAATGGGCAAGTTCACAGTTTATATATTGATGGCTGATAAGCCACTGGGCCAAATATATTTTCTCAGATATGTATTCAGGTCACATTGGTGTGTGTACATGTGAGACAACATGTACAAATTCAGGTGTCATCCACGTTTTGTTTTGTATTATATTTTATTACATTATATTGTTTTGTTTTGATGTATGGTCTCTCACTGGGACTTAAGCTCATTAACAAGTCTTAGAAATCTGTCTGTCTCTACACCAAAGACTTGGATTATAAGCATCTGCAACTATATGAATTTTTCTTTCTTTTTACTTTTTGATTTCATTTTACATTCCAACCACAGTTCTCGCTCCCATCCCTCCTCCAGCCCCCCCTTGCCTCCTCCCACCCCACCTCACCTTCCTCCTAGCCTAACACCCCCCAGTCCACTCCTCCTCGTAGGTAAGAACTCCCATAAGGAGTCAACACAATCTGGCACGATAGGTTGGGGCAGGGCCACGCTCCTCTCCCATGTGTTAACCCCGAGCATGGCATTCCACCATGGAGAGTGGGCTCCAACAAGCTAGCTCACATACTGCGATAATACTGCCACTGAGCATGGCATCCTACCCTAAGGAATGTACTCCAACAAGCTATTTTTTTCTTTATTTTAATCTGGGTTTTGGGGATGGAACTAATGCCCTTGTGTTTGTAAGGCAAGCACTTTACTGACTGATCTGTCTCCCTAGACTTAATATCCTTTTCTATATAAATAATAGCTACTGAGAGCATCTCAGGCTCTGGAATAACTGAAGTGAAGTAGAAGATACTGGAAAAATAACAGAATGACCCTGTTCATAGGAACATACTAGTTCAGGAAGAAACCAGAACAAAGAGGAACATGATCAAGTTCAGGAAACTTCCTGTTGAAGAAAGCTTAGTAAAGCAAAGTGTGTGCCTAGAATCTCATAGCTGAGGAATCAGACCAGCACATTTCTGAAACCCATCAGCCCAAAGTCCAGGTGAATTGATGAGCTTTATGTTTACTGAGAGACCCTGTGTTACAAACCTCTGATTTCCACATGGCATACATGTGCATACACACCTGCCAACACATGTGCACAGACACCCCCACTAACAATTACATATACCACACACAACAAGCAACACACATAGAAAGACAAGGTGAGACCCAGGAGGGAGGAGGGTAAGGCTGTGGATCTCCACCAAGGGAAGGTCTAATATGGTTGGAAGTAGTAGGAAAGAAGGGCATTGGAACATATATCCCCATTCCTTCTTCAAAGAAACCAATTAGAGATGACTAAATTTGTCAATTAAACCCAAAACTGTGGAACCCAGAGCATGGCTGCCAAGTCCTGAAATGCTATGAGGTCACTATGTGGTATGATTCAAATTGTTGCTCCCAATCAATCTTACCCTCAATTTCCTCATCAGCAAAATCGGGATAACCTCTGTGTGACTTGCAAAGCACAGCTAATTAACATTTATGACAAATGAGGAATTATATAACAGGTTATGTAAATGCATAATAGCACCAAGAACCAAGCTGCTTTGCCTGTAGCATTTAACTTGAAAGGAGATCTGAAAATACAAAGGAAAAAAGAGAACCAATAATGGAAAAAGCAAAATAAATAAACAAATGAAAATGCTGTTGAGGACAGAAGTGGGCAAGTGACCCCTTCCCCCCCCCTCCCCTGTCTATAGGTATGGAAATTCTACAATGGCATGTAATTTTATTTATAGACATTGTTCCAAACTCTCATAGTTGATTCTAGACAAGCAATGATGCTAGCATCCATTCCTTGAAAAGATTCATGAAATTAGGCAGTTATAAGTGGTGTGAAAACCCCTTGTAATCCTCCACTGAGGGCATGTCATTGTTGTCTTCATTTAACACCTGAATCTCTTTCATCATGTTTTCCAAATGCTGTCACATGCTAGTTGAGCACTGATATTCAATAATTAGGAAAGGAAAATAAATGTGATACAAAATAAATGTGGTACAAAAAAAATTCAAATGACCTTGAGGAAGTAAAAAAAAAAATGGATGGTTTGAATTCAAGGAATTCTTTTGAGCCTCCTGTCCTACTGTGCCTCACAAATACTCTGTTATTATCACTGTTAACTTCACTCTAAGCAAGGAGAGGAGATGTCTCTCAGAGAGAAACATGGACTCCTCAAGGTCACAGTGGTAGACAAAAGTAGGGAAATTTGCAATCAGAAACAGAAACAGACTTGTATCTCCTATTTTTGCCACAATTCTTTGAATTCTCTCTCTCCCTCTCTCTCTCTCTCTCTCTCTCTCTCTCTCTCTCTCTCTCTCTCTCATTCATATATACACATATATATATATATATATATATATATATATATATCCCAACCCCAACCGTGTGTGTGTGTGTGTGTGTGTGTGTGTGTGTGTGTGTGTGTGGACACAGGACAGAGGTCAACATCAAATATCATTCATCAGGTTTGTTTTTCTGGGACAGTGTGTTTCTCTCATTTGGCCTGAAACTTGCTGATTTGTTGGGCCAGCCAGTAGAGCAATTATCTACCTGTTTCTACCTACTTGGCACTGAGATAACAAGACTGAACCACCATGCTGTTCCATGGGTTCTGGAAATTCAACTCACATCCTCATATCACATGGCAAACATTTACCAAGCTATTTCCCCAGACTACTCTTTGAACATTGAACTTTGATCAGTACAATACTGGTTTTCTCCTATGAAATGTGGGTGCTGAGATTCACACTGTATGATCCTTTGTTTAAAAATATGAAATGCTTCATAAATTTGTGTATCATTCTTGTACAGGAGCCATGCTAATCTCTATATTGTTCCAATTTCTCTAAAGAGAACACCATTGTATTGTTCTTCTTCTCTGTGTGCATCTCCAAAATGGGGAAAAATTCTAGCATGATGCTATCCTGGTTGACAATGAAATAACTGTATATCGTAACAGTTGCAGGTCTTGGAATGCGTTCATAGCAATGATAATAGCTCTGACAAGAATATGTGCATTAGTACAGACATGGAAAGGTATGTGGACAAGTTATCAGCTAGATAAGTCACATTCTCCAAGGAGTTCCATCAGAAAATAAGAATGTGCTTGATTGTGGAAGTAAGTTATCTAGGCATGAAGGTTATTGTGGATTAAATGAGAAATGTCTCCTATAATCTCCTGTATTTGAACACTTGGTCTCCAGTCGATTGTGCTGTTTGGGAGATTATGAAAAAGTTCATTCAGTATAGCTGGAAGGAGTTAGTGGCGTGGATACTGAAAATCTATAGCCTTCTCGTCCCCTTTTCCAGTTCACTCACTCATTCCTGTGTGGTTGAGATGTGATTACTCAGCTTCCTGCTCCTGCAGCTATGCCCTCTTCACTATTATGTAAATCTAGCCCTACTATATATGTTGAATTGGATCATGGTATTTCATTATAGCTACAGAAGTAACTGACACAGTGGTACACACCTATAATCCCAGTGTTCTGGAGGATAAAACAGAGGGATGGCAAGTTCAAGTCTAAACTGGAATACATGGCAGTAACCTGTCACCAGAAACAAGAAAAAAAATGAAAAAAGAAAAAAGAAAGAGAAAGGAAATAATGGAAGGGGGGTGGGAGTAATGAGTCAGGGGAGGAGGGGAGGAAGTAGAGCTGGAGGGAGAAACGAAATCAAAATATTCATGTTTTGGTATAGTTTTAACTATTAGAATGCATAGCTATTAGATGTAACAGCTTTAAAATACTTAGGCAGAAATAAGAAATCTGCATTATTGGGTCAGGGCAAGCCAAACAATCATAAGTTTTATGGAATATATCTCAGAAGTCTATTATTTAAATCTGAATCCCATACTTTCTTGTCATCTTGATATTTTTGACAAGTATGTGTAAGGATTTTTGACAGTAAGGAAGTTTCCAATATATTTTTACTATATAAAATAAATGTAAAGTACATAACTGTGTTTCTAAATTGCTACTGTTTATTTTAAGAAATAAAACATTCATCATCTTAAAACCCTGCACTTCTGAGCACTGATTGCTATGTGCTAGGAGTGAGGGTAGCAGCACAAATTATAGTCGATTCCGCAGCAGAGAGAGAGAATGCAGCTGTTTTTAGTTCTGCTTCTGCAACATCCATGGTGGAATTCAGAATTTACTGAGAGCTAGCTTTTCTCATTTTACTGGCAAAGGAATTATAAGCTTAATTACTCTCAGGGATCTTCTGTAAATTATTTCCATAGATCTAGAGAAAGAAGATGGCAGAAAATAAACATTATCTCTGTGTGTGTGTGTGTGTGTGTGTGTGTGTGTGTGTGAAGAAAAAAAATCACCTCGACTGAACTGTGTTTGCTACCCACACCCAGACCACTTCTGGGGTTCAGAAGGGCAAAGAGACCCTTCCTGATTCTTGCACACATTGCTTATCTCTTGAAAGCACTTTGCTCTTTCTCCTTTCTCCCTGACCAAGCAGGCATGACCCTCACAGTTCCTTTTTCTCTTCATCTCTGCCACTCTAGTGGCATCTGCATGCTTGGAGAGACCTCTGTGATCATGTGATCTTTCACCTTGGCTTCATTCAGTGATGAACATTGGAGCTCCTGGAATAATCATGGAGACAACCGCTAATAAATTAATTCATATTTCTCCCTTGAAAGGAGAACCAGCGGCATAATCATATCTGACATTTATTGACTGTTTGCTCTGCCATTTATTTCATTTAGATCCCTTACATGCACAGTGAGATGGCATTATTCTAAGTACTTGAATGCAGACCTGGCCTGATATGCTAGAAATAACAGCAACTTCCAGCCAAACTCAGGCTGTCTGACCTCAGAGCTCACACTTTTATCCACTTACCACGTTTGCCTTCCATGAGAATGTTGGGGCATGAGGGGAGAATAAGTAGTATAATTGAAACATGGAAGGACTGGAGAAAGGAGGGAGGGAATGAAGAGAGAGAGGGACGAAGGGAGGGAGGAACAAAGAGAGGGAAGGAGGGAGGAACGGAGGGAGGGAAGAAAAAAGAATGGATCAGGAAGGTTGTCAGTTATCCACCACCTTGTCTTTGGTCACCTCAACCAGTGCAATATGAAATATAATGTTTTGACATGTGACTCTCTCCTGGAGTTCAGGCTGACACCCAAACTCATACTTTATATTTGAAGCCTTGATGCCTTAGTCAAGCGCATAGAAGACATCAGCCAGAGTTAATATCAAGTTGTCTTATAAAATTAGCTCGGTTTGAGGAAGCAGTTTAGACTGACAGTGTTCAAAAGGTAGGCAAAGGCTATAGCAGTGAGAGTGAGGTCCTGCCTGGTTCAGAGAGGCCACCTTGATGATCATTTAAAAAGAGCTCTGAAGCTTTTCCAAAAGCAACCCCACTATGGCAATTGTGTGGGAGATGTTTGCATTCTGCAGAGAACCAGCAATCCTGCTGAGGAATTATATGGTTAATGTGCTAGAAAAGCCTTCATAAAATGGCATTTCCTTTTCCAGCTTTGCAGCCTCCCACACCTGTGCTTGCCAGGTTCTTGTATGAACACAATGGCCTCACTGGCACCATAGGATTTCATTGCCAATGAAAAATCAACAAACCATGTCATAACCACCCACCATCTCTTTGAAACCCACCCAACTGTTTGGACATTTCAACCAAGCATAGCATCTCCTTTATGTCACAAGGAAACCAGGTGGCTGCAAAGCAATGGATGGCACACAGCCCATTCTCTTTTGCCACCCTTCCAGTGGTGCTTACTTCCCTTGTACCATCTTGTTCTTTGTTTTCCCTCTACTATGAATACATATGGGAGTGGGATACCTTGCTTTCTACAGGCTCAGTGTTAGATCTAAAAAGACCTTATAATAAATAATAAGCGTTCTTCAACCCTTGTAGCTGACTGAATAGGAAATGGTAGTATAGGGAAATATGTATATAGTAGATAGTATGAGGATGTGTTTGCTTTTTCTGGTTTGCCACTTAGACAAGTTGCTAATCTTTCAGCACTCTGGACAGATCATGGGTTTATTTAGTGAGTTTTTGATTGTTTGGTTTTGTTTTTATTTAGGGTTTTCTTTTTTATTTACATTTGAAACAAGGTTGTTTTACATGTCAATCCCAGTTCCCTCACCCTCCTGTCCTCTGCTATCACCTCACCAAACCCCAGCCCATCCCTTTTCTGCTCCCCAGGGAGGGTGAGGCCTTCCATGGGGAATCTTCAAAGTCTGTCATACATTTAGAAATTTTTCGGTATTTTGTTTTATTTAGTGTCTTTGTCTTTAGAATCCAACACTACAGGACTAAAAATTCTCTCTTATCATCTTGGGCTGCAAAACACTAATGGAGATTTGGTGAAATCTTTAATTAAGCACTAAGTGCTGATGCACAGAATCTGAAAGAAGCTAATGTTTGCACTTAATATTAGCATTTATTTTCTTCTAATGAACATCAAAGTAGGTACACTGCAACACAAAATGGTAAGAGATAAATGGATTCATATTAGAAAAGCAGGAGGCCACTTCTAAGGAACAACAAATGGGTGATGCAGGCTGCAAGGGAAGGAAAACAGTTTAACTTCAAGACAATTTAAGCATTGCTTCTTGGGTTAAGGAGATGGCTTTGTAGGAAAGCATTTGCATGTGGGAGGACTTGAATTCCTAACCCCAGTACCCACATAAAGGCTGGATGCATAGCATGAACATCTGTAATCACAGTGGTCCCACAGCAAGCTCAGAGATGAAGACAGAGAATCCTCAGAAGCTTCCAGGCCAGCTAGCTTGTTGTAAGCTGTGGTGAACATCAGACCATGTCGAGAATGAAGTAGATGCTAAAGACAGACATCCTAGGTTGTATTCTGATCTCTATATGTATATCATGTACATTCAAACAAATAAACATACATACAAGTTTATACATACAGATGTTCTACTTGTTGCTAGGTGCTGAGCACAGGAACAAATAACACAAAAATTTCCAAACAGGAGTTCAGACTGAAAAGTAAGGAAGGGGAAAAATAAGAGACATAACATAACATAACATAATGTAACATAACACCACACAGCAACATAGAGTAAACTGAAGTTTGACAGCAATATCAATTCACAGACAATCTACCATTGATGTGGTGGCTTTGACTACACAGTAAATGAAGAACAGAAGTTATCAAGAAAACAAAACCAAAAAAAAAAAAAATGTGTTAAAGCCTCAGAATCATCATTGGCATTTTCTGTGATTATTTGGTGGTCTGATTTGTATGTACATAGAGTAGATCTTAGTCTGAGCTCTGGAAAGAACTGCTTTTTGAAAGTTTTAACTCAGAAGTCTAATTATAACACAGATATATGAATGCTTGGGGAAAATCTTTTATGTAAATAACTGTCACCTAATATTAGGCTAAACCAGTAAGATAAATATACAGAATGAATGCATCTAAATTTTCAGAACTGAAATGACCCATGGCTTCCTATCTGACAGCATTTCTTATAGCATGTAAGATGTGTCTATATTATTACCATTTAGGTTAACACTATAGAAGCTTTGGAACTTCACAAGTCAACAGCTAATTTGACTTACTAGTGGCAAAAAAAAAGTAAAAGAAAAAGAAACAGTCCTGACAGATGTATCCCATGAAAGCAAAGTGCTGAAAATTAAAGAATGCCTAGGATGTTCCTGTCAGTTCCCATTTTCCTCACAAAGGCCTTCTCAAAGATGAACAATTCCAGGGTGTTCTGCTTATAAATAGGCTACCTCCCAGATGCTGAGCTGAGCCAGAACCCAAGGCTTGCTCTGGGTTTAAAGACTAATGACAATGGTAAGTCAGGCCTGGTTAAAACTGCCCTCACTTACATTAAACCAAAAATTAGCATTCAAGAG